GGTCTGAAAGCTAGCAATTTGATGAAGGTTGCATGGACAGTCCGTGCTGGAATATTTACCCTCTATTCCACAAACCTTTTGTAAGTACTCATAATGTTCTAGGTATGGTGCAAGTCCAGGCCTAGGAAAGACCTTCACACAAATGGTTTATGGTCTAGAAGGGGAAGAAAAACATTTCAATAAATAAAGGATATGAAGCCATGCTAGGTGGCAGAAGATGGCTCAGTGAGACATTGGGAAGAAGTAAGTATTAACAGGGAACAGGAAAGATTCCCTAGAGGATGCAAAGGAAAATCCTAGTGGGCTACAGCCTTCAGGAAATCAGCTGAGAGTTTTGTACATAAAAACTCTACTTACAACCTTAGATTAAGCAAGTAAGGCAGAAGGGATTCTGAGTGTTCCTGAATCATGTTTGAGAAGCACTGTGGAAGGGAATTCAGAAGTCAGTCAACAATATGGGATGAGGGAGGCATTGGATAACCTAGGAAATGTGTTCATCGATAGTTAGATCCCAAAAATGAGATTGGCCAAAGGAAAAGAGTCCGTGTCAAGTGGCCACCTGGGGATTATCCGAAACAGTGATTCTGAGCCCCAGCTGTACATTAGAATCACCTGGGCAAGCTTCTGCAACATTTTCATAACTGGGCCCTATTTCCAGCGATTCAGGGGAGGGGCACAGACACATTATAAAGGTTCCCTGCGTGATAAGAAATTCCAACATGCAATCAGGTAGAATGACCGATTCAGAGTAGTTGATCAGTAGCATGAAAAGGGAAGTGAAGACGATCCCCAAATATACAGACTAGGTCACTGGTTTTTGAATATGAGCATGCCCCAGCATCTTCTGACCATTAAAAACAGAACGCTGTGCCCCACCTCCAGAGTTTCTGCTTTACTAGGTCTGGAGTGAGGTCTAAGAATTTGCATTTCTCACTGGTTTCTAGGTGATACTGATGCTGCTGGTCCAGGGATTGTAATTATCACTAGACTACGTAAACTGTGGAGGAGGAAGGATTTGTGTGATATTATGATTTAGTAAGAAGTATTTATTTGGTCTCAGTCCCTGGTTCTTGGCACAGAGTTTTAAAAACCCTTGTAATTTCCTGAGTGATGGGGTTATAAGAAAGTGTTTTGATATTCATAATTAGCTACTTTCAACTGTATGATAACTAGTGGCTAGGGGACCCTGGAGAGCTTCAGAATGGGGGCTGGTCACCAGAAAGACCAATGCTATGATTAGAGGGTTGGAATTTTCAGCTCCCCTCCCCTCCTCGCCACCCTGACCTCCATAAAAACCCTAAATTATGAGGTTTGGAGGGCTTCTGAGTTAGTGAACGTACCCATGCACCAGGAGGGTGGTGCACCCCCCAGCTCCATGGGGACAGAAGCTCCTGTGCTTGGGAAACTTCTGGACCTTGCTTTGTGTACCTCTTCATGTGGCTGTTCAGTTGTACCCTTTATAATAAACTGGTATGGTAAGTAAAGTGTTTCCCTGAGTTCTGGGAGCCATTACAGCAAATTATTGATCCTGAGGAGGAGGTTGTAGGGACCTCCAATTTGCAATCAAGTTGGACAGAAGCTGTGGGTAACCTGGGGACCCACTACTTGCAATTGGTGTCTGAAGTGTGGGTGGGGTAGTCTTGTGGGGCTGAGCCTTTCACCTGTGGGGTCTGCACTAACTCTCGTAGTTAATGTCGAAGTGAATTAAATTGTAGGACACCTAGTTGGTGTCCACAAAGAACTGGAGAATTGCTAGGTATGAAAACCCCACAACTTTGATGTCAGAAGTGTTATGGGTACAGAAGCTTGGGGTGACATTGGCATGGTGGGCTCACTAGTGAGACCATAGGCCCAACTGACATTGTGACAACTTGGGCCACAACAGTAATGGGATCTAGAATCTTGCAATTCAAACTGGAGTCCTGAGACCAGCAGCATAGGCATCACCGGGATGCTTGTTAGAAATGTAAACTCTCAGGCCTCACCTCAGACAACGAATCTTCATTTTAACAAGATTCCCACATAAACTGCTGCATTCTAAAGTTGGAGAAT